GGGCTCACACACATTCCAGAGGTTAATGGGGCCAAGACAAGGCATTTCGCTCAGTGCCCTGACTTTTGACACCCATACAAACGGTGGTGCCCAGTCTTCCTCCTCAAGCTCCCGGCAGGAAAGGCTGCTGTCCCTCTTTAAGCAGATGTTGAGTTAAATGAGGTTTCATGCTGCAGACCTTTGCTGAGCCCCTCTTCCCATCCACACCCCCCACCCACAGTAATTTCTGGAGGGGGTGTGTTCTGGGGATACAGAAAACTGTTTGGTCAGCTCCTGCCTTCGGTTGGGGCAGTTGGTGTTCTCATCTGACAGGCTGGTTACTTGGAATTCTCTGGGAAGTAACTTAGCTCTTGATGGGAAAGCTCACCCTCCAATGTCATTTTGTGGATGAGGAAGCTGAGGAGGCCCCGGGGAATCAGCAGTTTGCCTCACTTGCCTTTAATGCGTTCTGAGCCCAGCAGCCCCCAGCCCAGGTCTGTAGTGCCAGGCCAGGCTGTCATGTGCTCCTAGAAGGATCTACCCAGGCTGCTGTAAAATGATGGCACAGTCTGCTAGGCAGGGAGTCCCCCACATTCCCAAGACCGCACCAGGTTCCTGTCAGTGTGCTGCAGGCCTGCCTCTGCACCCTCACTGCCTGACCCCACAAATGGAATTGAAGAGCCAGGAGTTAACGGGAGAGGCCATTGCACCTAATGAGTGCTGGCCAAGCCATAAACCAGCACAGGACTGACAGAGATACTTGCTTTGAACTTGAAATCCTTTCTAAGCTGCCAGTCCAGCCCCAGGGAGACCATGAGGCCAGCAAGCAAAAGGGAGCCCTGTAGGCCCCTTCCTCAAAGGGTCAGAAAAAGCCCATTCCCTCCTCACCTTATCCCGGATGCTTAAAAAAATATTGTGGTAATGTAGGTCAGTGAACTGCGGGGCACCGCACACTGGCAGGATTACAGGGCCCACCAGCCTGCACGCTGGCCGCCCCATCAGATGAGAACATAAACACGAAGTGCTGAGCTCTCAGCTTCCCCGGCCTGGGCTTTTGTTTATGTAGCACTTGAACCAACTCTGGGGTCGTCGCTGTCTGCCATGGAAGCCCTGAAGCTTTTTGAAGTTTCCCCAAAGTTAATAAAATTAGTCTGCCCTCATTGTGAGGCCCTGGCTCAGGGAAAGATGGATCCTTCACTCTCTCTGTGGCATTTAGCTTTTTAAGTTAATAGTTTATAACCAAAAGAAAGGAGGGGCAGGAGAGAAATGCAGTAGAAAGTCTTGTGAAAGGCCTCTTTGCTTATAGGTAGCACCCCTGCCACCCAAGGGCTCAAATCCCTGTGAGGCCCAGCTGCCAGGTCTACTGGAAGGCTGGGTACAGGCCGACTTTGTTCTGGTGGCAGAGACAGCCAGTCCCCAGCATGCAGGTATGGGCTCACTCTTGATGAAGCGTGTCCCCCAGTCATACGTCCACTAGAGAGATTTACCTCAAAGAACCAAGAGCCACCTTTTCTCACCAGCCTCTCCTTCCCCACCTCCATGTCATATGCATATTTACTGGGACCTGCTGGGAGTCAGGGCTATATGGGGTACAGGCCATGAGACCAGAAATCTCAGGTTATCTGGAGAGGACACAGGGTGACCAGGCTATTGGGACAAGAGGGCCAGAGGGGATAGGAGTTGCCTGCCATGTGGGGGTGCTGCCTGAAGGAGGGTGTGCCCCACCTGAGCCTGGAAGGATTGGGTGGGGTCCTGAGTAAGGATGGGGGTGCAGAGTGGGGAAGAGCCTGGCGGGGAGAGGAGCGGGAAGGGTGGGCCTGATGAAGGGGCATGAGGAAATTTGGGTGTTAATGGGCATCTTCATTTTGCTTGATCACATTGATGGTTTTGTGGGTATATACATATATCTAAACTTACCAAGTTATGTACCTTAAAAACAGGCATGCTATTACATACCCATCATACCTCAACAGAGCTTAAAGACCAAGGACCACAGGCATCAGTAAGCATTGCAAATACACCAACCCAGTTAGGTATGCGTTCCTGTTTGCATCCATCTCTGTTTCTGCCTTCGTGGACCTCGTATCCCGGTTGGATGCTGTAAAAGAGTAACAGATAAAGCTGTGATGTGACATAATGTCAGGGAGCAATCTGCTCTGAAGACAAGAGAGAGGACAGGGTCTCATTTGAGCCAGTGCAGTGCAGGGCAGAGTGAGCCATGGCCTTGACTGGGGGCACCCTGTCTCTGCTGGTGAGCAGTCCAAAGGCCATGGGATGGAGGGAAATGTCAGCAGTACCCTCCACAAGGATATGCATAAGCTCTTCAAGGCCGGAGCTATTGTTTGCTCTTGACTACACACCCAGCACCTTGGTAGGCACTCACTGTTTGTAGGAAGAGAGGAACATTAGGAGGTATTTGGTGAGAACCGTCTGAGAGAGCACCTGCCTGCATCACCCGTTTGTTCCCCAGGGTTCCTTTTAAAAGGTGGTTCTCTAGGTTGTAAGCTCCTGCCTCAAGGATTCAGTCATTGGCCAGCCACGATACTGGGGCAGGTCTTGTGTCAGCGGGATCTGTCACAAGGTAGTGAAGGCCTGGGACCCACCACCCTGGGTAGCACCAAGCGTGCCCTGCTTCTCCCGCTTGGAGTGAGTCAGCCTTGTCTTGCTCTTTCACGGTTCCTCAGGGGCTTTGCAGAGCCTGGCAGACCTGAGTTTGGGTTTCCACTGTGCTGCTGGCCTGGGTCACTGCTGCCAACTCACATCTCATCTCTGAGCTCAGCTCCGTCGTCTCTGAGGTAGGAATGAAAACCCCAGGCAGACAAGGGTGCTTGGGGGCTCAGTGGGACCCCACAAATGTCCTGGTCAGCTGAGGTACGCTCTCTCCCAAGGACAGGTGCCCTGTCAGCAGCAGAGGCTGAGATCAGCTCAGAAGGTGGCACAGGGCACCTGCAGTGGTGGGAACATGCAGTGGTTAGTTTAGAGGCATTCGGTCACTTCAGCCAAACGTCCTGGGCACCTGCTCTACCAGGCTGGGCTGCGAATATGAATAGAGGGGCCTGCCCTTCCCAGGCTCCTGGCCAGGCTGGAAATTGAGCCACAGACACACACACGCCATTCTGGGAGAAAAGTGGGGCAGGATCCTGGGAGCTGCAAACCCCGGAAAGCAGCTGGGGCCGGTGACATCTGCTCACTCCACCTCTCCGTGTCCTGCAGGTCAGAGGAGGTGCCTGCATTCAGTGCACCCAGCAGCCTTGCTGGATCCCGCTGCGGCGGGAGCGGCGGCACCACGGACCAGGCCAAGCCCATGGCAAGCCTGGCCCACAAGGGGAGCTCTGCCAGAGCCCAGTCCAGAAGGACAAGGAAGAGTTCTCATGTGGGGATGAGACTTGTGAATTATAAAGAGCTGTGCAAGTGGAAATGATTATTCTTATCATTATTTGTATCCAATTCATCCATCACCGGGGAGAAGAGGAATGCGAATACCTTTTATCTGGCACTATGAATCAAATAGAATAGGATATGTTTTTCCAAAAGGTTTTTAGGGTAAATGGGACAGTTTCTACTTTTCAAAACAATCCATCTGAGGCCCTTGGCCAAATCTTGGCGTCTTGGGCAGAAATGAGATGTTTCAGAGACTGAGGACAGCCCAGCCCACAGGGTCCCCCCAAGTCTCAGACTCCCCAGGGAGCACTGAGAGCAGGCCCCCTGCTGGCAGCACTCCCACCTTCCTGCCGCTGCCCATGCCATGTCTGCTCAGACTCGACCTGGCCTCAGGCAGCACCCAGGCTGGCGCATGGAGCCTGGAGGCAGGGGAGCCTCCCTGTCTCTCATATGGCACCATGTAGGACCCAGCATCCTGGAGGCCAGGAGAAGCATGGGCCCTGCTCCAAAAGAGCAGCAAATCTCAGGAAAAAACTGTGTGAGCCCCTTTGAGGTCATCTGGGAGGCTTGCTCTCTAATACATCTGTGTGCACATCTCTCTTTCTCTGTTTTACACAAAGGCCCAGCACCTTCCTGGCACAAGCCCTCGAGAACCCGGGCAGGGCAGGGCAGGCCAGCGGGCAGGGGGCTCCCGGCCCTGCCGTTTTTCCCATAGGGAGGGCCTGAGCTTTGAGAGGCTTCAGGAGGGGGCTTGCCCACACTCAGTCTGCGGGGACAAGGTGTAAGGTGGACATGGCTTGTGGTGAAACCAGGGCCATACCAAATCAACATTTTCACGCACACATGTGTCTCTCCTGTCAGCCTGGGCCTCCACAGAGAGGTGAGGAGATGTGAGCTCTGCAGCAGAGGGCCTGGCCACAGACAGCAGGAGCCAGGGGAAGGGGATTTCTGCTGGGACAGAGATGGGAGGGCGTCACGGAAGAGGGGCCGTGGGGCAATGGTATAGACGTGGGCCAGGCCAGGAGGGCAGCTCTGGGCACAGGGAGTAAGGCTGTGGCTGAAGTGTGTGTGTGCGGCAGGATGGGATGGTGGGATGAGACCGGGTTCTCAGAGACTCCTCGCTGGAAGCGAAACCGGAGAGCTTGAGGCAGGTTCCAGAAAGCCCAGGTGCAGCTCAGGAGGGACATCCTCTTGCTGGCCTGGGTGTCATGGAAGCTTCCATGCAGATGGTGCTGTCATCTGTCAACAGACGGGCTCAGGGACAGGCAGACATAGTGGCCGCGCAGAGGCAGGTGCAGGGCAGGCAGGTGCGGACTCCCAGCTACCGTTGCCCTGTGGGCTCTGCGACCTTGGACAGATGGCCCAACAGGTGTCCCCTTTTCTGCATCTGTAAAGTGGGGAGAGGGTGCCTCCCTCCCATTGCTGTCCTAGGGCTGAGTGTGCTGGGGCACCGAGTGCTCACAGCCAGCAAGCACATGGCTCGGCTCTGTAGGTGTTGGTAGTGGTGGGTGGTGGTGGGGATGAGGGGCCAGTCACCCCAGTGACCCAGGGGCATTCCATCGCCTGGAGGAGGGGCAGGTGGCCGCTTTTCCAGCACACACTGATGCCGTCTCCCCGCGGGGCCGGGTGTGTGGGAACAGGTGATGGATGACTACAGCGTGATCGGCCGCTCCCTGTTCAAGAAGGAAACAAACATCCAGCTCTTCGTGGGGCTCAAGGTGCACCTGTCCACAGGTGAGCTGGGGACCATTGACAGTGCCTTCGGCCAGAGTGGCAAGTTCAAGATCCACATCCCTGGTGAGTGTGGTTATTTCCTCTTGCCTATAGGTGCCATGCAGGATGTAGACACAAGAGGGGAGGTGTTCCAGGCTCCCCTCGGCTCAGGGTTCCAGGCCTGCCCCTGATAATGCACAGACCTCGGCCCATACGGTGTGCCGCTGGCCGACTTGTGGCCTCCCAGAGGATCCTGGCCCAATGTGTGAGCCTGAGCTCCTGCTCCACTGTTACCACCTGGGGGGACCCTGGATCTGTCACCTGTCCTGTCTGTGAAACGGGGACCTGTCCTGATCCAGCAGGTGGCTTGGAGAAAGAGACTTGGTGAGAGAGACCGCTAAGGGCCTGGCACACTGCCCTGGTCGCTAGAAGGGCTCCCCAGAATGAGCTGCCACATCCTTCCCTGCTCAGCAGATGCCAGCTGCAGGCCTCTGCTGGGTCAGAGCTGGGTCTTGTCTGCTGTGGGCTTGAGGGTGCCTATTTGCTGTTGGGCTTCGTGGATTTCTAAAGTCCCTCCATTCCTTCTGCCACGTGTGCTCTTCCCTACACCCATTTGCCTGATGTCCTGCTGTCGGCAAGGGACAGGGACAAGGGGAGCGCACGTGGTAAGTTAGACCATGTGCTGCGTGGAAAAATAAAGCAGGGCCGGGCGAGGATTCCTGCATGTGCCGTTCTGGGCTGGGTGATCGGGAAGCCCTCTCTGAAGAGGGAACAGTTAGTAGAGGTGGAAGGGTGGGAGTGAGCCCCCCATACCTAGGGGAAGAACATTCTGCAGGTTGGGGGAGACGACTGCCAAGACCCAGAGGTAAGGACCAGCTGGTGTGCATTTCAAGGCGGTGGTTTGGCAGAAGAGGTGCGAGCAGGGAGTTGTGGGGGCCGCCTGTTGGGGCCCCGCTGCAGGGTAAGGACAGATGTGTCTGTGGTCGGGCATTTACACAGTGCACCATGAGCTCTCAGCATTGTGTGCCGACAATTTTCAAACATGCAGCAAAGCTGAAGGATTTTACAGTGAAGCCCCATAACCACTGCTGACCTCATGTCAGCACTGCTGTGCTCTGCAGGGGTGGTTTTATTCTGAGGGCTGGAAAGCTATAGGGAGGTGGGATCTAGTCATCCACATGATCTTGGTGTGTGTGTAACTTCTTAAGGAAAGCCTCCAGATAGAGTGGTGCCCTGCTCCCACTAGGAAGGCGAACCCCAGCACCCTGGCAACTCCCCAGCCAAGTCAGCGCCCTCTGCTCTCCTGGGGGCCCAGCCAAGGGCCCTTGGCTCCCAAATCCTTCCTAAAGCCCAGAGGGCCCTGTGTGGCATTTGCCCTCCTGTGAGAGACATCTGTGGTCCCCAAACTCCTGCTTCCCTGTGGCACATGTGTGACTGCACCCCAAGGCCTTTGTCCAGGTGGAGCTGAGCTGGGTCACAGATGGAGAGACTCCCTCAGGACAGGCACAGTGATCCCCCCTACCACCACCCCCACCGTGGGAGCCTCCAGCCGTGACAGCGGGCTTCAAGCTCCTCCGCAGCTGCTCCTGGTCAGCCTCAGCCAGACGGGGGTCCACAGTGCCCTGCTCGGGGCCCCAGGGAGCACATGCAGGCCGTGGGCCGGCAGGCTGGTGTGCAGAGCTGGTCCCCAGGGCACTGGCAGGGCTGAGCAGAGCTGTGTGGCCCAATGTGTGAGCCTGAGCTCCCCGCCCCACTCTCCCTGAGGCTGCTGGGGTCCCTCTAGTCCAGGCAGAGCGAAGGGGTGTCCTTCAGTTTCCTTCTTTGGGGACGGAGAGGCTCATGCCGACCCTCCCCTTGTCCCCTTCCTCATGCCCAAGGCAGACTCAGAGTTGGAGTATTTCAAAACAGGCCAGAATGTAGGAGGAGGCCCCAGGCGTGGGGGGCAGCGCAGGGGAGGGGGCTGTAGTGACTCTGCTTCAGTCAGCCCAAGGTCACATTCCTTTGTTAGGCCAGTGTTGCCTTGTTAATAGGTCTGCTTCCTGTTTGTGGCTTTTAAGCTTTTTATTAAATATAAATGGTCAGATTCCTTCATCCCAGCCACCCCTACTCCCTACCCCCACCTTCTGCTTGTCTCTTCCTGCTGATTCCTCCCATAAAGACTCACTTTTAACCTTTTTGAAGTGCCTTAATTGTAAAAGAGTCTTCAGTAAACCCGAGACATCCAGTGCCAGGCGGAAGAAGGGAGAGCATGGCCAGTGCAAGTTGGAAGCACCACGGGGGACAAGGCCAGGGCTTGGCACTGCACAGTTTCAGGCTCCAGAGCAGGCAGCGGCTCCGAGGGCCTGTCCCAGCCCGCAGATGGCAGATGGGGCTGGGCTCAAATGGGGCTATGGCCTCACTGCTAGCTCTGCAAGGTGACCCAGCTAGGGAGGGCAGACAAGATCCTCTGGTGTGCCCCCATCCTGCCCCTTGCCTGGGTGCTGTCTCCGGCCTCTCACCTCGGTAGGGAAGGCCAGATGCCAGCAGGGTGAAGCAGGTGTTGAAGAGACCAGGTGTCATACAGTAGGGACTGGTGGGAACTGTGGCAACCTAGAGAACTGCCTCTTGGTCCTCCTGACTCTTGAGGCATGATAGTGTAGGCCCAGGAATTGAATTTCATCTGATTTAATTTTTATGTAAAATTTCCTGATAAAAAATGAAGACTGTGAACTAAACATGTCTTTAGACTGGGTTTGGCTGATGGTGACTCGTAACTCCTACTTGAATTTCAGGAAGTGTGTTTGTTCTTCAAGTTCATAATATAGAAACAGAACATTTTATAGAGTCACAGATGCTGGCCTCTAAGACAGGGGGCCTGACACTAGGCCCACTGCTTCCCCAGAAGATACTCTGGGAGGGCAGAGGGACTAGAGGTCTGGCCCCGCCTGACATATGACACCCAAGGAGCCTTCCCAGAAAGTTGTGGGGCCGGGTAAAAGGTCGCAGAGCCCCACATTTACATAAGTGTTCCCTTCCAAAAGTCACCTCCATCTGTGAGGCCGGGAGGCTGGGGGCCCTGTGAGGAGTCATGAACCCACTGGGTAGCATTGCTGGCAGAGGGAGAGTAGTTGGAGGTCGTTGCCAGGCAGAGATGAGGGTCCTCCAGACAGACCTCACTCCCGTGTCACAGCATGGCTGTGCTCTGGGCGCCACTCCCATGCCACGTACCCCCCCCCCCCCCCCCCCCCCCCCCCCCCCGCATGAGCTGGGTCTCATTATCTCCGTCCCAGGTGGGGCTTGGAGAATCGAGGGGCTGAGTGCCTTGCCCACGGTGTGTCTGGGTGTGCAGCCCCCGCCTGCCCCTGTCAGCCCCCAGCAAGCAGCCAGGGCTTCAGTGAGCAGGGCACCTCAGGGCCCGCGTGGAGTTGGACATGCCCTGTGCCAGGAGGCTTGTGAAGCCAGTTGGCGTGGAGGCCCGGCCTGGGCTCCCACTGCTTCCCCAGCAGCCGCTGTCCTGTACTCGCCCCTCCACTCCGTGGCCAGGCCCCAGGCCCCAGCTCCCACCCTGAGAGGCAGCCTGGATGGCGGCGGCTGGGACGGCAGCTCCTGCCAGCCCACACATCATACTTTGCAGGGGGAAACAAACTCCTTGATCACTTCCAATCGGAGAAAAGTCAAGTGTGAGAAGATGGATGAACTTGTCCCCTCATGACAGCTAAGAGTCACTTCTTACTGACTCTAGGAGAGAAGAAGAACATATGTGTGTGATTTTATCTTCTGAAGCAATGCCTCATAAACCTAAAGTCACCCAGTAGGTTGTGATGTGTACCTTGATAGACTTGGAAATCTTTTTGGGTGGCCCAAATTTATGGTAGGTGGCCTGTCTTCCACCTGCCAATGTAGGAAGGATTCCGTGTGGTCTGTTTTAGCAGGATGGAGTGGATGGCCCGCAGCACCCATGGAGCTTACAACCTCCTCATGGAAAACTTTAGGCCCTGCATACCACATGATGGGCCCCCACGTGGCCATCCTAGTGCGGTATGCATCGCTGGCCCTCGTCAGGTGGCCACACAACTCACAGCCAAGGAAACTGGTCATGGGAGCTCGTGCTCTCCTGGGAGAAGCCAGAGCAGCCGTGGCTGGGGACCACCACCTTCAGCAGCCACGGCAAGGGCCTCATCGTGTCCGTGGGCCCTGCCTCTTGTGCCCAGAGTCCAGGAACTTGATCTTGTGGGGTGGCCAGATTCTCAATCACACCCTGAGACAGATTGGGTCCTGCTAATTTGTATTTAGGACCATCTGATTTTGGTGATCTTTAATAATCTTTTAATTACTGCTAGTTCCAGATAGATTTATAGGCAGCTGAGAAAAGAAGGAAAGAAATCTATAGAACTGTACTCTCAGTAAACCAGAAGGAACTTCAGTTTACTGTCCTTCAGGATGATCCAGCACTCAGGAGCCATGACAATGGTCAGAGGAGGGCCCTAGAAAGCCACCGGAAAGGTAGGCTCTTACCTAGACCCACAGCGCTCAGAGTATCCCCATTTCACAGATGAGGAAACCAAGCCTGGCCAGTAAGCAGCATAACTGGAGTGTTGCAGAGTGGTAAAGCATTGGAGCTGGGATTGGAACCCAGCATACTGTGCTCCTCACGCATGGGGCTGCAGTGAGGTTTGGAAGTGCAGCTCTGTCCCTCTAGTTGGGTGGGAGAAGGAAACAGGTGGTCATTCTGCTCGGTGGGCCCTGAGTAGAAGGCTTGTGAGAGCCCTGCCAGTGGGGTAGGGAGGAGCTAGGTGGCCCCTGGGAGAGTGGCTGGTTGTCGGGAGAGTCGTACCTGCTCACCTCTGGTGGGCAATCTGATGGAGCCCCTGGGCCTCCCTGGCTTCGGCTTCTGCCCCCTGAGCCCACCCCCAGGGGTTCAGGGCTTCGGTGTACCATCCCCGGCCAAGACACGCTGGAAGTGATGGCTTTCCAGGGAATGGGAAATGTTGCTTGCACAAATGAGTAAATAAAGTTTAGTGGAACAAACGACTAGAATAGCAAATGGAGGAACCCAGGCCTGCTGGGGGGCAAGGAGCCTGGTGCCTAGTGTGCTGCAGGCCTCC